TCCTCGAGGACTTCTACTATCCTCAATATATCCTACCCTAACTCAATACTAACAGCAGTGGGGGAGCCTAGAGAAGAAAGGCAGACATGAGAGAAGACTTTACGAGCAATATCCTTTTCTTCTGAAGGAACCAAAAGCTAGAGAAGTACCATGGGGCATAAGGGAGATATCCAAGGTATACAGAAGCTCCAGAATAATTATGGGAAGACTATTACTGAAAGCCAATATCAGAGTTGGCAAAGAAGAAAATGACAGGAAGAGAAATTAAAAGTAGTGCTCTGAATAAGAGTATCAAAAGCAAGACACAATTGGGCACGTGGATGGGTGAGAAAAGTGTCACAGAGACAATGCTGTTTCTTGTTAAGAATGTACTTGAAGTACTCAGTGCAAATCACAGAGCCAAGTGATTATGAACAAGTGAAATGTCGCTGCAGCAGGTACATGTACAAGATGAGGCAGAAGGTCAATCAATATTTGTTGATCAACCAAGGGGAATACCAGTCCCAACATTTCCTAATCATCCACTGTCATATTACACAGGTGGGTCAGTCATTGGCTAAGAGCTCAAACTAAGACGTGCCAATGCCCTTGAAAGGGCCTGGGCCATAAATTAAGAGTCAGAAAAAGTCCTCATTAGGCCTGGGAATCCACATTATCCCCGAATTAACTCAGCAGAATCTATGCTCAACATTCACTACCACTGGTCAGATATGGCCAGATCCTACACAAACCACAGAGGTAGGAAAACATCTTTCTGACATGAAAAGATTGAGGTCAGCTAGACATTACTGAGCTGCAGTTGTCACTTCAGCATTTCTGAATGCAGTGTGGATGACTCACATCAAAACATGCAGGAGGGCAGGGGGTGCAGCTCAGTGGTGCCACCACCTGCATCATAAGCACAGGAGCACAAGGTCCTGAGTTCAATCCCAGTACCAAAAAAAAAAGGCAGGAAATTACAGAATCAGAAAGGCAGGAATTATTGTTTTAAAACAATCAAAAAGCACATGAATCTACCATATCCTATCTCTAGGGGGAAAAGAACCCCACTAATTCAGGAAGTAGAACTCTCATTTACTATAAACAAAGACTATTATAAGAAAATCTAACTTTAAAATAAATTAATGTGTTAAAGCTTTCATGACTTTCATGGGAATTTACGCAGGATTCTCACTCTTGGATCTTACCCCAGAATACTTTAAGATAGTCACTCCCAGAGTGTAAAACCAGTGAGCTTTTACTGAGCACCACCTGCTCTCAGCTTGTATTTTCTGCAAAGTAAATCTCAGAATGTCTGGGTAAGAAAACTATAAGCATTGTCAGGCATGGTGGCACATGCCCATAATTCTAGCACTCAGAAGGTTGAGTCAGGAAGATCACTGCAAGTTTGAGGCCATATACATAGCAAATTCAAAGATACCCTGCACTATATAGCAAGACCCTGTCCCAAAACAAAAAAATAAAGAGAAGTGGGGAACAGAGAAAACAACCTATAAGGATTATCAATAACTGTTCTACATACGCAAAAAAAAAAGAAAAAAGAGAAAAAGAAAAACTTTTGAGTGTTGATTTATATTGCCATGGCTTCGAGTAACTATTCTAGCACCATCATGAGTATCCAGTCAACCCTAAAATGGCACTCACAAGAATAGATTCCCCTCAGCTCACTTATATTCATTGTCTTCCATGACCTTAAGTGTAGTAAAACTAATGGAAAATGTATGCCACAAGGAAACCAGAGAGACTAAGAATGAAAACTCACACTGAGGAAAAGAGCCGTCAAACTTCATGACAGGTTAAGAAGTAACAAAATCACATTTTTAAGTCACCCTTTTTTAGACACTAATATAGTATTATCAGTGGATATTATTAATTTGCATTATTATTAATTAACTGAAAATAAATTAATAATGCCACATATAATTAGTAACAACAATAATAATGCAAATACATATTTCATATATGGCTGTTTTCTTTTAAACTTATGAAATCTTTTCTCTCAAAAGCTCTTATAGACCAGAGATTTAGACCAGTGGTTCCACCGCCTGCCTGGCCAAGTGCAAGGTCCTGAGTTCGATCCCCAGTACAAAAAAAAAAAAAAAAAAAAAAAA